TAAATATAGATATAAAATAAATAAAATTTAGTCATTAGAAAATAACATAATTACAAAAAAAAAACCTAATTATCATTAATTTAATATTTCAGACTTAGTTTGAGCAATTTCCTTCTTGAAAAAAATTCTATTATTTTGTTTGTCATTTCATAGATAAACAAGAAAACAATTTAAAAGAAATCTGAAATTTCAGCTAAATAAATTTTCAGCCTATACTTGTTTATTTCACGCATTCATATATGTATATATATCTTAGCCTTCTCTCTCTCTCTCTGCTCGCCTTTTGTTGCTATATGACAGCTCGCGGGCTAATGCCATGTTTTCGTTCAGTGTAGATCAGACGTAGCTTATTCTTAGGCAGTTTTCTAGCCGCTGGCCATGATTAAAAGCAGCTCAAACTTTGTTACGCTGTCTGCTCTGCTTAAGGTTGTTCCCACTCTCGTTGTTGTTGTTGTTGTTGTTGTCGGTGTCTTTTGGTTGCTTTTTTACAAATTGTTTCAATTAAAAAGTTTACTTGCCTCCGCTTTGCTTTAGTTGGTGAATGTAATATCGGCAATGAGAGCAGGAGCAGGAGCAGAAGCAGAAGCAGGAGCAGAAGCAGTAGCAGGAGCAGGAACTGTTCGTGCGGCAGAGTGCGGCTGTATTTAAGCGGCTTTGGGCAAAACGCTTTGGCATACGATTGACACGTGCCCCAACGACGACGAGAATTGGGCGCTAATTGCGGCCATAATAAGTGTACACTAGTCAGCAGGAGTTCGCTTCTCGCTTCTCGCCAGTCAAAACTTGTTACATTTTCCCTGCGGCCTTGATTGCGATTTAGCTGTTGGCCTTGGCCAGCTTAGCACAAGTTGGAAATGAATTAGAGTGTGGCTGAGACAGCGCGAGAAAGAGAGAGAGAGGGAGAGAGAGAGCTTGAGAGACGGATACATATTCTGTGTTGTGGCGAGTTAAGGCAAATGAGAAAGGCATAAATTATGATTTAACTTCATATTTAACTTAATTTATAGCTTCATATGTTGTTTGATAAGTGAATTATTGTGTGATCTATATCAAATATTCTCTACTGAAAGATTTTTGCTCTAGCCAAACCTTTTTTTTTCCCACTTTTACCTCTTTTATTACTTATATTAGAGAATATTTCAAATATAAATGCAATAATTAATATTAGTTTTCTTGAATTTCCTTGACAAAGTCTTCAGCTACTCACAGGTCTTGCCTTTGAAGACCTCATTACAAATAAATACAGGGTATATCAATACAATTGCATAAGACACAGCACAATCACACACACACACACGGATCCAATTATCGCCAGCTAATTGAGAATTGAAATTGTTTGGGCAAATTAATTAAATATTGTAAAAAAAAAGAGAACAGAAAAAGTATATGGAGAATGAGCTAAAAAAAAGTTGCAGCCTTATCGTAGCATCGTTCAAATATTTCATGGCGCTAATTAATTTAATTGATTCAAGCACATACATATGACTGTATTCGTGTATGTGTGTGTGGTCCACTCTATCAGCTGTGCATTTGGTTTATCTGTTTGTTTTTATTTTTTATTTTTGGTCAAATGTAATTAAAAAGTTTTTCGTAAATTGATTGAAAACTCTCTTTCTCTGCAAGTACATAATCGTTAAAATTAAAATAAAAAATGCGAAATAATATAATAAATAATTGTAACTGTTTTTGAATTAATGAAAAGCATTAATATAACTGCATTTGTTTTTTTTTTTTTTTTCATTTGCATTTGATTTGCTTAAGGAGTTACTCTTGCTGTGGCTGTGGGCTATTTTCTCTTTGGCCTGCCCTTTGCTTTAGGTGTATAAGAGTCATGGCAGCAGATTTGTCTTATACGGCTAAGAGCTGTTGCTCTCTTACTCTTATACGCTGCTAACTGACCTAGGACAGCGCTTAGTTGCTTAGTTAACATTTTACAGCGCCTTCCTAGGGAATCACAACATGTGCTAGCTCAATATGAGATTTATTGATATTTAAAAAAATATTAATTTGATTTAAGTAAAAATGTATCGTATAATATATATTCACTTTATAAGTATTAAATACACTATACATTTTTTATTTTAAAATAAAATTATAAAAATAGTTTTGTAATGATTTTTTTTATTTACTTTTTATTTAATTATTGTATTAAATTTTGCTCAACACTTAAGCATCTTCCATTCAGCTTTGTTACTTCTGTTTACATGGTGTCAAAAACAATTAGTTTAGCAACACTGTTAATAGATTTAACAGCGTCTAATGCATTGTTTAACAGCTCTAAGCTGCTCGATTTGTACAGTTTCTTGCATTCCGTTTACTTGCGTCAATAGCGCTTAAGTGCTTTGCCTTCTACACTTCCTAGAAGCTGGCTTTAAATAAATGTTAATAAATTATTTATAATTGCAATTACAGGYCAAACAGCAAAGATACAACAACAGCAACAACAACAGCTACTGCAGCAAAGCCAAACAAAGCCAGAGCTACAACAACAACAGCAACTACAGCTGCAAATAACTACAGCAAACAAAATGTAAGAGCACAAGTACAAGTACAAGGCACTCTAGCCAAGAGAGTGCTACTCGAAACTTTGCATCGGCTACAAATTTCGTGCACCAATAATTTTTGCCAGCAACAGCAGCAACAACAACAGCAATAACTGTATGCGACTAAAGAGAAAATTTGTGAATTCTCTCTTGCGTTCGGCTCGTTCCGTTTTGGCTAGCATAGCCGAAGCGCTGTCGCAGCTTCGTCGTGCCGTTCAGTGCTTCGTGTGCAGCGCCACGATTGGCGAGCTAGCCGACGCCAGCAGCGCAGTCAGCAGTCAGTTAAATCCTGTTAGTCGAGTGCGAAGCACGCGTTGCTTTTTTGTTCGTCTCCCTCGCTGTGTGTGTCCGTGTGTATGTGTGGAGCGTGAAACGTGTACGTGTGCGAGTTGAGCAAGGCGATTCCACGCAAGTGCTGCGAAGTGCGCGATGCAGCATTAACTGCGAACAGTGTTGACAAGTGGATGACATGTGATGCAAATGCAATAAGCACACACACAACTCTAACTGGAAAGTGCGACTGCACCAGTGAATCAAGTTAACAAACAACAACAGCAACAACGGAAATTCAAACACTCCTGTTAGCCAAGTCAAGCGAAAGCGCTAAGCCGCCAGCAACAAGATAAATTACTTGGCGCCTACGCTTGTTATCTAAAAACCAAAACCAAGTTACAACAAATGAAAAGTAGAAACACAAACAATTGTCAACGCGTCAGTGAGTGAGTGAGTGGGTGGGTGCGGGTGCGTAGGTGTGTGCGTGTGTGTGTTCGTTTCTAAGTGTTGGTAAGCGACGCACATGGCGTATGATTTATGCGGCTGTTGTTGCGACGCCAAAGCCAACGACAAACAGCAACGAAAACAAAAATTACATTAAAAGCAAAACAAGCAAATTGAATTTACAACAATTTGGCTAAAACCAAAAAGTTTTATTGTGCAGTGCGCGAAAGCGAGCAAAGTGGCAGCAGCCTCCACACAGATACAATTGTCAAAGAGATAGCGCTGGATTTTGTAATAGCTCCCAGGCGAGCGCTTAGAGCCGAGACGCCCCCAACAAGATCAGAGCCAAAGCTAACAATAAAATAACAGCAATATATATACACATACATATACACATATATATATATATATATTGTAATTAGAGCTATGCGGTTAACAAGGCCAAGCACAATGTTGGCCAATTTTGGATTATTCAACTGTTGGCCGCTGCTGCTGCTGCTGCCGCTGCTGGCCCAGCTGCAAGGTAAGTGCTGCTCGACCCCTTTGCTCTTGGTCCACATTTAATTAAATAATCCAATTTATTCTCATTTAATTTCGTATTAAATTTAATTTGTCGCCCCCCGGCCATTCGGCTCAGCAGCCTCAGCACCCTTCCGCAGGCTGGGCTCCACCTCTCTCGCTCCCTCTAATTGCTTTTGTCGCTTTGAATTTGTGCGCTAATTTCCGTTTGGGCGTTTCGTCGTTCGTTTGTTTCACAATTGAAATTCTTTAAATTTGCGCGCGCGGAATTTTCAATTTTCGCAGCAGCAAAGCTCTTATTGTCAGGCCACGCCTTCTTTCCTGTGGTCGGCGCGTCCGTCTTTGTTGTTGCCCGCTCAGCTTGTGGCCAAAGAGAGCATATATGTGTGAATTTCTCCTCATACCCATTCAGCTTGTTCTATGCCAGCTTCAACTACTTGAAATTTGAGAGTTATATATGGACTCTGTATGCCCTGCTCTTATGCAGTTTATGTTGCGTTTCCTACGCCTATTAGGCGTGGCAAGTCTATTAAAAACTATATCTGTCATGGTGCTCCAATATACGACTTTTGCAGCTTTAATCTCTTTAATTCACAAAAATCCCTTTATTATTATTTTTAGTAAATTTTTTTAGCTTGAGCGAGCATTAGGCAGTCGCCTACGGCCATCTCATTTCATTTTTTTTTTCTTTGATTTAATGACTGTGTCAATCTATGCGCGCGAGCTAATTGCGCTTGAAGTGTACCATTTTGTTGTTGTTGTTGTTGTTGCTTTCTCTGACTTAACGACCTCAAAAAGAAAAAAAAATGTAGCTGTTGTTATTGCTGAAGCCTTTAGGGTTCAGCTGGCTGTTTGCTCATTTCTTGTGCAAGGCAAGGTCGCAGCCATCCGGTCAGCCACCCAGTGCGCTGCCACCCATTCAAGTGCTCTTTTTTTTTTGTTGGGGGGCTTTTGGTCCAGCCAAATGGCAGCTAAACACTTGTAGCCCCAAGCTCGAAGCCCAAAACATCTGCATATGCTCATGTGAATGTGTGTGTGAGTGTGAGTGTGTGTGTTGTTTGTTGTCTGGCTCGCCAACTTTCCACTCTCTCACACACACTGACACACACTGGCTGTGTACTAACTGTAAACTCGTACTTTCCGCAACACTGACACAAAATTTCATTTTCAATTCATGCTGCATACAGGCGTCTAACATATATACATATATATATATGTTGGTATATATAGGTATGTGCATATGAAAAGTGAGTGTTGGCAAGAAATAACACACGCACACACGCACGCTTTCACACACATAGAGCTATAGACGCATTCATGTGCGCTGACAAACTAACGAGCTGGCAGGCACTTCTAAATGCAGCCGCTGCCTTGAAAAATGCACCAGTTGTTGTTGTTGTTGCTGTTGTCGTTGTTGTTGTTGTTGTATACCCGCGCTTTAAGCCTCTAAAAAGAAATGGGCATTTTATGGGAGAACATGCCCTAAAAAGCTCAACAGAATACAGAAATAATTAAATAATTAAGAATTATATGTAATTGGGAAAATATTGTAGTATTTATAATAATACATAAAATACTATAAAATATAACTAATACTATAATATACATGTATACTCTTTAATTATATTTAAATTATTAATTAGGAGAGCAAAAAAAAAAAAATCATTTTTTTTTTTCGTTTTTTTATGGTTAATATAAACCAAATTAATTTTTATATCAAAACTAAGCCATATACACACGTTGTACACAATATATTAATCTTTGACAATATTGTTTGATGCTGTTTTTCGACACGCCGTTTGGTTGAAACGTGAGATATTGTCGATATAAGCGGCTTGTCCTTAAAAGCGGAGGCCTTTTCATATAGATTTATTTGTGGTACAACCGAAACATTGAATTTTCATCGCAATAACCGGACGAAAATTATAAGCGGAATCGTCATAGCTAGGTTATACTGTAGTGTTTTTTTTTTTTTTT